GCTGGATGAGCTCCTCAATTTGCCTCTTGAGGTCGTAGCAATCGTCGGTGTCATGCCCGTGGTCACGATGGAAGCGGCAATACTTGTTAGGATTTCTGCGATTTGAAGGAGACTTCATTTTTTCAGGCCACTTTATTGCGGGTCATCCTGGATCTGGAATAGGATGTGTTCCATGGAAGCATTGAGTGGAGTGAAGGGTTGACGGTTCCTCTGAGGAGCAGGACCTAGCCGGTCCTTGACAGGGACTTTCTCTGTCCTGCCATATTTGTTGCTGGTTTCCTTCTTATCGTCCTTCTCTCTTTCCTTCCTTTTCTCACCTGCTCTGGAAGACTCACCCCGCCTGGCCCTTGTGATGTCTTCTGCATTTATGTACTTTTGGGCCTTGGCTAGCAGCTCTAGCATTCTCTTCGGTGGGCGCTTTAGAACTGAGAAAAGGAAACTTGATGAACGGAGGCCACCCAAGAAGGCGGTCATCGTCACCTTGTCGTCGGGTTCATCAACTTGGAGTACCTCCTCGTTAAAACGAGTGAGGTAACTCCTCAGGCTCTCCTCGCGGTCCTGCTTTATACTAAGCAGGTGCGTAACTGGCTTCTGGTGGCGACGCCCTCCTATGAAGTGTGAGACGAATGATCTGCTAAGCTCGGCAAAAGAGGTAATAGAGGCGGGGGAGAGCTTAGCAAACCACTGTCGGGCAGACCCCTTTAATGTGGTTGGGAATGCCCTGCACATGATTTCGTCTGGTACGTTGTGCAATTGCATCAAGGTCTTGTAAGTGTCGAGGTGGTCCAGTGGATCCTTTGTTCCATCAAAGGTCTCCACAGATGGCATTTTGAACTTCTGAGGGAGGGGGTAGTTTGCTACATCAGGTTTGAAAGGGGTATCAGTACGCCTTACCAGGTGGTCAACAGTCTCGGGTCCCTGTGCCTTCATGGCGTTGAAGACATCACCGAGTTGATTCTGTACCTCCTTTATCTTCTCGTCCCAATGATTGGGGGCTCCTCTGGAATGATCATGGAAGTGGCTTCCATGCCCCATGCTTTGGTTTTCACCCTCATCCTCCTGGAGATAAGGGTCATCTCCCTGGAAAGCAAGGGGAGGGGGAGGTGCAGCTCCCTCATGTTGGGCTTCCTGAAGTGGGGTGCCCAATGGGGCACCCGGGCGTGGAGCAACAGGGCGTGGTGCTCCTTGATGTCCAGGATGTGGAGCTCCTTGGGGTGCTCTATGTTGTGCACCTCCGTGGGGCGCTCCATGTTGTGCACCTCCGTGTGGTGCTCCACGTTGTGCACCTCCGTGTGGTGCTCCACCTTGGGGTCCTCCATGTTGTGCACCTCCGTGTGGTGCTCCTCCTTGTCCAGCAAGTATGAGTTGCAGTAACTGTTGGTTTTGAGCAACCAGTTGCTGCATGGTCTCCAATATTTGCTGGGGATTCGGGGCTAGAGTATCCGGAACAGGGTTGATAGGCGGGGGAGCAACCTCCTCCTCTCGTGGAGGATTGTCTTCGTGTTGGTTCATGGATCGAGTAGTGATCGCCATTAGTTAATGGATGTAATGTTCAGGAGTGAGAATTTTGTCGATTCCCACAGACGGCGCCAAACTGATGATGCACAAAAATGGTTTTGCACACCACCTGTCAAGTGTAGGTAATAAATGCAGTGAAATCAATGAAAAAATTAAAGAAGACACGATTTATAGTGGTTCGGTCAATTCGACCTACGTCCACTCTTCAATGGCTTCAGTTGCCGGGTATTTTATTAATTCAGAGGTATGGAGAATAGAGATACAAGCTTTGAGAGAATGGAGAATCAAAGAAGGAGTGGTCTCCGGTCGTCGGTCTGTCCTCTGTAAGTGTTGGTGGGGCGTGACCTTCATCCCTCGTCTCCTCACAGATTGGGGCTACTTTATAGCAGCTAAGAGATCATTCTTGTGGAGATCATGACTTATCCTCAATGCTACTTTATCGCAGTTAAGAGATCATTCTGGTGGAGATCATGACTTATCCTCAAGGGAAGGAGGAGGTTGGAGAGCTCTTAATGAAACGTGGTCAAAGATTGGATCGTTTCATTCGGTGGTGCAGATAAGCTTCTCATGCTCTCCTCTTGATGATGTGCTAAGCAAAAAGTCTAACCGGTCTTGGACTGTCTTGGACTTGGTAGATTCAAAATGAGATTGGGCTCCTCAACTGGAGTTGGACCTTAACACATAAATTATACTATTTGAACTTAACCCATCACTTTCTAATTTATATTACTTGTTTTATTCTATTTTAACTGATTGCTAATATAAGTTAGAAAAGATCTGAGACAAGACTTTTAAGAGAATCTGATGTCAAAGATCTTTAAAAAAAAGAAAAGACGTGACACGAAGAGCCGTCAATTATGAATGATTTCAAACACGAATGAAGACGTTGGAGAAGGTGGACATGATTAGACTCATGGTCAGAATAGATGGCTCTGGCAGTTAGCACTCATCCCCCATAAGGGAAGGGTACATAGAAAAGATTGTTTGATCAAAAAACATTTGTATAGAGTCTGTCTCTATCTTTCTTTGTTTATTCCTGCATCTTTTTTTACTCTGTAACCGTTATTTCGGTGGTCTTTCTTGTCGATTAATGTTAAGTACAATAGTTTACGCAACACTCTTCGTTGTTTATCCTATTATTTTTTTCAATTCTAATACCTTTCTAAAATTCTAGTTCGATAAATTATTTTAGTGAAAATTATTTAAGTCTTTGATCTCTAATACAAAAAAAATAGTCTAAAAATAATTTTACGTTTTATTATAATTATTTGAACAGTCACGATTTTCTAACGTCACTCTAATTCAAATAAATAAGTTCGTAAATATTTAAAAAATTTAAGTCCGTTTGTATTGTGAAACGATCACAATCCAAAATCCACTAAACACTAGAAATTTCAAAATTAATTTGTGAATTAAAATGCGTATAATCATTCTAATTTCTTTCCAACAAAAGTCTCCAACATTAGTCATTTACAGCGACATTTGCACATTTATTTAAAGCATGCATGACGTGAAAGCAAGACTCCATGAATTAATATTTAGAATCTGAATTTTTTTGTTCTGTTAACATATTAATGTCATTATCATCTCTCTCTATGCTTACACACACGTCACATGGCGAAAAAGCAACGGGGCAATGTGCTACGGCCGTCGAGGCTTCGATGGCGCCGGCAAGAATGGTGTAGCTGCCGGTGAGAAGAAGGGGGAGGAGGAAATCACAGGTAGAGGGCACCAACCAGAAGAGGAAACGGTGGGTTTGGTGGGATCCACATCCTCTCTATGATCTCACTCCAAACCAAGTCAGATACCAGGTGTATCACCATGACATTATTTTTTAGGTTTAAATAATAAATTCTGAATTGTATTACTCGACAAAATAACTCGATCACAATTGTCAGGCATATGATTTTGTGGGTCCTATCTACGACACCCACTTTCTCCACTCTTTGCTTATTCATGACTTTTTTCTTATCTTTTTATTTTATTATATAAAAAAAATACAAAATAGGCGGAGCTTACTCTAACTATGCGGTTTAGAAAGAGTCAAAAAAATATAATTTTATTACTGTAGACTAAAATTCTTTACGTAACTCAAATACTTCATTTAAGATTGAATTTACAATCGAGCAATTGTACCCGAGGATAATGGCTCGACATGTACGCCACTAGTGATATCTGTGATGTATGGATGGTAGTAACAATGGTATAATGATAGCTTTTGTCACTGGTCCTAAGGAACTGGCCATGAAGTATGGGAACGGCGGTGCTACGGTGGTGGACACAGGACACTGGAGGCCGAAATTAGGGATGCCAGTCATGAGGATGAGTCAATGTTCCTGGGAATGACGGATGCAATTGTGACCAAGCCCACCCACGCACCCTTGAAATGGGTAAAACGTACTTTCAATTTTTAACAAATGATTAGTTGGGCTTTTCAATTAGCCACCTTGCTTTGTCAAATGCTTTAATTTCAAATTTAGTCGCTTGGGTCTAAAGAAAGTTTCTGTTATTGCAATATCTAGAAAGAACTAGATTTTACAATTCAACATACAAATGTATTTTCATGTGTCCTATTGATCGAGTAGGTTTCCGTTATTTCCAAGGACAATGGTCCATTCGAGCAATGACCCAGAACAAATGCTTTTCAAGAATGATCAATATTCTCTTGATAGATCAAAAAATATTTTTTGATTTTGTGAACTTAATCACAGACGTGTAAACAATTCCTAACAATTTTAGAGACGAATTATAAACTCAAACTGTTATGTTGTACATAGTTTACATATTAATGTCACTATCTCTCTCTCTCTATGCGTACACACACGTCACATGGTGAAAAAAGCAATAACGCAATGTGCTACGGTCGACAGTGCNTGTAAACAATTCCTAACAATTTTAGAGACGAATTATAAACTCAAACTGTTATGTTGTGCATAGTTTACATATTAATGTGACTATCTCTCTCTCTCTCTCTCTATGCGTACACACACGTCACATGGTGAAAAAAGCAATAACGCAATGTGCTACGGTCGACAGTGCTTCTACTGCGCCGGCGAGAGTTGTGTAGCTGCCGGTGAAGAGGAGGGGGAGGAGGAAATCGCAGAGAGAGAATATTGGCTCAGAGTAATGACATTGGAATGGGAAATTCTCAAAAATTGGTGATTTGGAAAATTGTTGACATGGCATGTTCCTGTCTGATGCCACATCACCATTCCAATATTTTTTAGGTCAAATAATTAGGTCTGAATTACGTTACTCGACAAAATAACTTGACCGTAATTGCTAAGTGTATGACTTTGTGGGTCCTATCAATAAAACCCATTTTTTGAAAAAATGTATTGGATGTAATGANAAATTGTTGACATGGCATGTTCCTGTCTGATGCCACATCACCATTCCAATATTTTTTTGGTCAAATAATTAGGTCTGAATTACCTTACTCGACAAAATAACTTGACTGTAATTGCTAAGTGTATGACTTTGTGGGTCCTATCAATAAAACCCATTTTTTGAAAAAATGTATTGGATGTAATGATAACACCACATGACATTGATAATGTAGTGTCACCAACTAGTATAGAATATCAAATGAATTTTGTAAGCTCCATTGTTTTACTAATTACTAATAACTACCTCTGTCATATTAGAATAGTGGAGTTAACCATCTTATTTGTTGTTTTATAAATTACTTGGTAATATCTTGTGACAAAATAGGAATTAAGAAAGCTCTTTATTTCACCTTTTTCTTTTCTATGTTAAAAGACTACAATATATACACATATACAGATCAAGTCATGATCTGATCAGCAAGGAAAGAAAATAAAATCTCAACTAATTCCCTTGAATGAAGGGATTACAAATTCCTAAATATGTGCAGTAAAGATTATTTCCAAAACTAGTGTTAATCAAATCTCAGCAAATCTCAACACTCCCCCTCAAGTTGGAGCATGTATATCCAGCATGTTCAACTTGCTTCTTAAGTCCTTAAACACATTTCCTCCAAGAGCTTTTGTAAAAACATCTGCCAACTGCAAATGAGATGGAACAAATTCTGTAACAATTTGACCTTCTTGTATCTTTTCTCTTACAACATGGCAATCGATTTCTATGTGCTTGGTGCGCTCATGATATACTGGATTTGCTGCTATATGAAGTGCAGCTTGATTATCACATAATAACTTTGCTGGTCCAATGAAAATCTGCATGTCATTAAGCAAAAATCTGAGCCAAGTTAATTCTCCAGTTGCTGCTGCCATGGACCTGTACTCAGCTTCTGAGGATGATCTGGAGACTGTTTTCTGCTTCTTGGCCTTCCATGAAATCAGTGAATTTCCCAAATACACACAATAACCTGTAGTTGATCTTCGAGTNTAGACATATTTAGTTAGAGTATGCGGAATTTTACAGAAGCAATAGGATCATTGCTCTGATACCATGACAAAATAGGAATTAAGAAAGCTCTTTATTTCACCTTTTTCTTTTCTATGTTAAAAGACTACAATATATACACATATACAGATCAAGTCATGATCTGATCAGCAAGGAAAGAAAATAAAATCTCAACTAATTCCCTTGAATGAAGGGATTACAAATTCCTAAATATGTGCAGTAAAGATTATTTCCAAAACTAGTGTTAATCAAATCTCAGCAAATCTCAACATCTTGTGATAATGATAATGCAACAACAATATGTTGAACAAGATCTCTTGCCAAAATTTTCATCTTAAGTTATGTGGCACAGTTTACACCATTAAATAAGTAGGTCTTATTAATATTCAATTATGGATATTGTACTATATCACTTTAAATGCAAAATTTAGTAAATATATAACATTACTGATGATAAATATTTACTTCACTTTCTCCTCTTTACTTATGATTATTTTTTTTAATCTTTTCATTTTATTAAATAAAAAAACACAAAAATGGACCGAATTTTCTATCACTACGAGGTTTAGAGATGATCAAACATATATAATTTTAGGGTGGGGTTATTCTCACCCTATAAATATCCATTCGCGCACTCCATTAAAATTTTTGTAATGAAACTATTAAATTCACTCCTTCTATACCTACTCCCATTTTAACTAAGTTCACCTCATACTATTTACACCTTTTTAATAACAAGTTCATCATCTATCTTCTCAAAACTAGAGTTTCATTAATTATATTCTCTCATATACTCTATACGAAAGAGTTTTTTTTAATATGAATTTTCTTAATGAGATACATGTAAGTATTATTTTTCGATTTAATTTTTTGTTTGATTTCTTGTGTGTTGTGTGATTTCATGTTTGGCTACGTCAAACTTAATTATTTTTGATTTATGGTTTTTATATGTGTGTCAGTGTGTATGTATTCATACACATTTGCAATAAGAAGGAAAAACGAAACATTTCCTGGTAATGACGGATGCACTTGTGACCATGCCCACCCACCTCCCTTGAAATGGGTAAAACATACGATTTAATTTTCAACACATGATTAGGTGGGTAGAAATTCGAATGAAAAGATTATTTCAATACATGATTAGGTGGGCTTTTCAATTAGCTACCTTGGGGCTATCCCACATCCGATAGTCTTTAGATGTGTGTGTGAGTTATAAGGATCTATGACACTTCTATTTTTAAGTAGAATTATTGTAGTGTTCTCTAGTCAAAAAAAATTACCGGTATGTGTTCGTTTCAGGGTGGGTTCCATGTGGGCTCAACTGCATTCCTCTAAAGCCCGACTAAGATCAGGAAGGCCTTTGGGCCTAGGTGGTGATGGGCTGGAACTATCTCACATTGAATAATTTTTGGGTATGTGTATGAGTTATAAGAATTTATGACACTTTTACTTTTAAATAGGAGTGTTGTAGTATTTTTTGATCAAAAAAAAAATTAGCTATCTTGGTTCGTCAAATGCTGTAATTTCAAATTTTGTAGATCGAGTCTAATAAAAGTTGCGTGTTATTGTGATATCCAGAAAGAACTGGTCAAATATTACTCTTTGACATGCAAATATATTTTTATGTGTGAAAATCCGTACCATGCCGATAACAATTCCCACCTTTCTAGTTTTTCGTTCTTCCCAAGAACAATGGTCTATTCAAGCAATGACCCGCAACAAATGCTTTTCAAGAATGTTCTTATTTTGTCTCCTAGTTTTTAATTTTTCTAACATTCTCTTGAAAGTTCAAAAGATATTTCCCATTTTGTCTTCATAATCACGGACGTGGAAAAGGTCTTATGGTAATTTTAGAGATAAAATATAAATCCAGACGTTTTTGTTAGATAATCTTTCTATGATTGAACCTAAGAAAATATTAATTAATGTGCGCATAAATTGACTCAAATGTTCCTAATCGTTGACCCCCGAAAAAAAATCCATCACTTTATAGTTTCTTTTGACTAGAACTCCTATTTTGACTCTATAAAATTCAACTTGTAAGCCAAAAAAATGAATAAAATAGAAAACATATTGAACAACATCTTGCGGAAGATGAACTTCAAATAAGATGGCCAAGAAAGGTTTTTCTATATGATCAATTGATTATCTTATATGGTTTCTTTAAATATTATTATCTTCTCCCCTATTTTCAAAGGTCATGTGTATCCAATGACACTTTCAAGATCATTTGTGTTCACATGTATTTTAGTGCTGCCCTAGGTTCTATTTCCAAATGATTTAATTATAGCTGATGGTCTTCCAGTCCAAAGTCCATAGTTGTGTTCAAATCTATACTATGTATTCTAGAATAGTTGTGACGTGTCTCAAATCTATACTCTGTATTATAAGAATTAATTTAGGAGAGGGGTTTGAATTTTTTTTTCTTTTCAAACCGTATTTTTCTTAATTTTAAATTATTTAATATGAATATATTAGTCGTATCTAATTAGATTATTCCAAGTGGCCTATATAATCACTATAAACTTATTTATAACTACTTAGCTTAAAACATTAATTTAGCATATTAATATATTATTTTCTAAAATGTCCCTGTGAGGTGGGGTTTGAATATTGTCAAATACTAGACCAGGTAATGAATCTTTGGTTCAATGGTATTGTTTACTTTATGAACATTTTGTCTTTATGAGGTTAAGGGTTCAAATTTCCCTCCTCCTCCCCAAAAAAAAAAGTATAAGAGATAAGGAATTTAATTATTGTGAAATATAAGATAATCTTACCCAAAAAAAATGCAAGAAGAACTGGCAAGCAGCCAATAATCATACATTCACACCCAACTGTCAAACCAAGTAGGATATAAAATTTAGAAGAAAGTGGACTGTTCACCAAAACCCCACTAATCTTTCAAATAATTGTTAATGTATATAATGATAATATGTTTGTCCCACCTCAGTTAA